ATATATTTTCATTGTCCTTCGCTTGTAATCAAGCCATGCTATTTTCTTATCCGCCTGTCAGCTTGATCCATGTGGGCAGGTAAATCCACATTCCTTTGTCTAGGGAAGGCTTGTTCATCAGCTGCGTTCAAAACGTATTTCCAGCCCATATACACAACTCTCTGTATACAACCCATACATGCATCCTGCAGTGATATTTGTGACCAGTGTGTCACCTTACAAGACATTGTTTGGCTAGATAGCCTGACAACAGTGTGTTGGGTGTGCCCTTTGTCAATTGACATACGGGGGCTCTTAAGGTCACAGAGGCCTTAGACTCTATCAGGAGAATGTCTTTAGATATCTTGGTATAAGAGCATGTTGCTTTTTACATTCGGGGGGGGGGGGGGGGGGGAAGAAAATCACAAAAGCAAAAAGAAAACACTCTATTATTATGTACATTACGGTAGTGTCCAGAAAATTGGGGCCTTGTGTCACTAGGCACTGCACAGACACACAGTACGAGACAATCCCTGTCCTGACAGCTTACGATATAAGGCCCAGCTTATGATATAAGGCCCTGATTCAGGGAAGGATATTTATTTGGGAAAGAATTGAAGTGTGCACTTATGCTCAGAAGAACTGCATTTTTTTCAAAAAAGTTTTGGATATAATATTCAGGAATATGTTTTCCTTTTATAACCCATTAAAGTAATCAATTAGATAAAGAGTTTACTGAGGGAGCTTAAAGGGTTACTGCCCTTTTGGTACTAGATTTTGAATCCATGGATGTTTTATCAGCAAATAAATTGTTAGCTGGAAGATTAATTTTTTTAATCCATTTTTAGCCCAGTCCCTTCTTTGCTCACCCCACCGCTCCCACACACATACTGTCTCAGCTGTCAGTGACGTGCCATTGGCCAATGTAAAATTGACAGGGAGCTCTGAAAAACGAATGGGTGAGAGTTCAGACACTGGGAATGCAAAAGGGATTATTACTATTTATAATGTCTGTTCTGGTATGCTGAGGAGCCAACTGAGACTGGCAGCCACAGGGTGGGGGAAATGGGTATAATGTGTAAGCACAGTGAACAGAGCGATGGTTTGCAAATGCCGTGTTAGTGCCACCATTTTGGTCCTTTTTGGTGTGGTGTTATGTAAAACCTTTTGGGGGGGCTTAGTGAGGAGGGGATTAGCTGGATGGGAAAACCAACAAAAAGGTCAAGTTTGGCTTTGTAAGAGGAGGCTGTTAATCCTGACCGTAATGTTGGCAGTAGCCATTAAATAGCCAGGGCCGGCTCTAGGCACCAGCATCCCAAGCATGTGCTTGGGGCGGCACTTTTCAAGGGGCAGCATTTTTTTTTTGCTTCAGCGGTGGCACTCCGGCTTTTGTTTTTTGCTTGGGGCGGCAAAAAAACTGGAGCCGGCCCTGTAAATCGCGGTTTCATATGGGAACCTTTAGCCTCCCCTTACGTTGCATAACACAAGGAGATGACTGTTGGAGTCAGGACCCAAGTGCACAGGCCAGATTAGACCATGTGACCTTGGGTTTCATTTCTTGATGGCTTACTGTGCAGATTTTGCTGCTCAGAAGTCAGGTAGAAACAACACAAAAAATAATTTCAGTAAATTATGTATATAAACAACTGAGATTTCCCCACCTTTGTCTCCTCCCACAGCCAGCTTCCTAACTGCTTTCTGCCCCAATGCTTGGGGCAGGCTCTTCTTTTTCCTGTGTACTAAGCCCTCTTCCTTTTTCTCCAGCAATGTCCTGTTTAGAACCCACTTCTTTTGGGTGACCTCCTTGCATGGGGCTCATTGCCAAGTCCTGGGGTTGTGAAGTGCTCTCCCCAGCTTCATGTTTGTTTTTGCTGGTATTACGGCCCATTACTGCTCACTCTTACTACTGGGCACTGTCCTGTTAATGTCAATGGGAGAATAGTAAGCACTGCCTCTGGTAGAAGTGTTTTTCATGCATGCGTAAATCTCTTGTGAGAAAATCCTGAAACATCCTTTTTTTTCTGTGTGTTATTTTCCAGAATGCAGGGAAGTTATTTTTCCTGAAGTTCTGCCATTGGCTGATCCTACATGAAAGTTGACCACAGACTTGTGAGGTTCCAGAGCACAATTTCAGGCAGGCTTGTTGAATTGCCTTTGCAGGGATTTCCTGATCTCAAATAAAAACAGCTCTTTCTCTTTTCTGTTTGAACAAACAAACACAAGTCTTCCTCCTGCCTTATCCTGTCCCCCTGCTATGTTTGTGTCTCTCTCCTGTCAGTATAGCTGATATGCAGTGGTGTTGTAGCCATATCGGTCCCAGGATATTAGAGACACAAGGTGGGTCAGGTAATATCTTTTATTGGACCAACTTCTGTTGGTGAGAGAGACAAGCTTGCAGTTCTGAGGGTATATAAAAACAAAATGCAGTTCTTCTGAGGGTAGCCCATACTTCAGATATTTCCTGAATAAAGATACCCATAAGGAGTCATGCTTGTCTCTCTCACCAACAGAAGTTGGTCCAGTAAAAGATATTACCTCACCTACCTTGTCTCTGTCAGTGGTTCTCAAACTTTTGTACTGGTGACCCCTTTCACATAGCAAGCCTCTGAGTGCAACCCCCCTAATAAATTAAAAACACATTTTAATATATTTAATACCATTATAAATGCTGGAGGCAAAGCGGGGTTTGGGGTGGAGGCTGACAGCTCGCGACCCCCCATGTAATAGCCTTGTGACCCCCTGAGGGGTCCTGACCCCCAGTTTGAGAACCCCTGCTCTATGTCATTCAGGGAGATGGATTAGCTATGCTGGACTGTCTCCACTAGGGGGCTGTACCAGCATAGGCATTTGTAGATAAGCTCCTTTTGTAGAGGCAGTTATACCAGTGTAAGGTGCTTTATACTGGTATAGCTTATTTCACTTTAGCTGAACCAGAATACCGATATACCTGTGTCTACACTGGGGGAGGGGAGAGGGTTCCACTTTAACTATGCTGGTGTAGCTAGAAGTGTGACAAGGCATTTGTAACAAGTGTTCACACTGAGCCAGATCAGGCGTTTCTTGTAGAATTAAGCCCATTGTCTTCAATGGGAGTTCTAATTCAGCTCCCATTTACAGCAGTATAAATTAGAAGTGACTCCATTAACCCGATAGCATTGGACTGGAATAAAATCAGTTTAAGAAAAGAATTTGGTCCATTTGATCATGTTTATAGATGAAATAAATGGTGGTAGAAATCACGTGTTGGTAAAGGGTTTGATTTGGTGTAATATATACACCAGGAGGAGCAGGGTGATGGCATGAAAAACAGATGGGGGGGGAGGGGCTGGCTTAAACACAATTTCTGTCACAATCACCACCGCTTAAATCATTTCTGGACTGGGCCCACTAGGTGTGCAAGAGAAGCAGGAGTGGATTGAGATTTCTGAAGTGCTTGGTCACTCTTCAGCTGGGGGAGATTAGTCAGTTTCTCTCCGCTGCTGGAACACTCAGTGTGGAGTTTGAGTGATACTACTCAGGAACTAAAAAGAGGTGTTAAAGTGGAATGCATAAAAGGGAGCAGGACCTGGAGAGAGGAGGGTAATGAATGGGTAGGCGCATGGGCTGTCAAAACTGTGTCTCGAGCAAGGAAAAGGAAATTCTGTACTAGCAGGTCATCTTGATAAATAAGCCCTTCTACAAGTGTATTTAAAAGGTGGAAAACTGGCATCTGTAGACAGCTAGTATCTATCAAATGCCTCTAAAGCAGATAGCTTGGTACTGTTGTACTTCTTCTTTCTGATCACTGCCAGCAAGAAAATTCTTTTCCAGGAAAGGGAATGTAAACATTTCCGTCCACTCTCTTGTGCCACTTTCAGTATGGCTGCTCATTAACAGTATGTCCTCCTCCTGCCTGCTAATGGATCTCACTTGTGCTAAAGTTTACTTACTCACATGAGGTTGCATAGACACATCAACCACCCCTCACGCTGCAGTAGTGAGCTTTAATGCATGTTGTCTTAACAAAACTTTTCAGATGACAAGATCTGTCCTGGTTCAGATGCCACAAGCATCAGTGCGTGATGGTGACGTCATACCGAGCCAAGTGTCCTTTCCCTGTTGAAAGGGAAATGGTCAAAAGCATGCACACCCCATATCTGCTGGAAAATAATTAAGGAATGTTGGGCCGGGAACTGAGCTCTCACTCTGTTTCCTTTGTGTGCCTCCCACAGTGCCCAAGGGGATGGAGTGTTGGTAGGTGGGGATTCTCCTGTGCAGGGGGAATCCCCAGGTGGCATAAAGATGATGTAGACGGTTCTCTGCCATTCACTCCTGGGCTCCAACCCCCTGACATAGCAAGGACTGGGAGTTGCAAACTCGGATCTTGTCCTGGTTGGTCAAGTCACTTGGTCAAAACCTGCCTTTGCCATGATGCCTACAAAAAAATTGACAGCAGTTAGGCAGCTGGTGAGCCATGAACACTGCCTTTTATGTTGACCAGTATTGTCTCATTGTTTTCTTGCGCTCCCCTGTTGGTCTGTCTGTGGTCTCATGTCTTATACTGTAAACTCTCGGTTAAAGATTGTCCTTTTGTTCTGTGTTTGTACAGTGCCTAGCACAATGGGAGTCCTGGTCCAGGACTGTGACTCCTAGGCACTGTGACAGTACAAATAAATAACAACAACTTAGGGTGGGATTTTCAAAAAGTGCCTAAGTGACTTAGAAACACAAGCCCTATTGAAAGTGGCGCATGTGCTCCCAAGTCACTTAGGTACTTTGTAAAATCCCACCATTAATCTCTGTGCCTTAGTTTCCTCTTTTATACAGTGAGGATAATCATAGTTATCATAGGAATTTCATGAGGCTTACTCAGTTCATATTTGAGAAGCACCTTGAGATCTCCAGGTGGAAGGTCCTATCAGAGTGCTGAGGGTTTATTTCTGTTGATATTATTGACCAATTGCATTACATCAAAAGGGTGAGCTTTTGATATATGAAAATTTAATTTAATTAATTTTTTTTTCTGGGGCATTTGTGTGTAGGTCCTGAGGGAGTCTAATAAATTGGCTGAAATGGAAGAACCTCCTTTGTTGCCAGGAGAAACCATTAAAGACATGGGTATGTGAACATGGCTCTAATTGCTTTTTTTATTGATTAGACAGAATTCCCATAATCCCTAGTATGTATTGAATGGATTCATTGTCACCCACAGGCATGGGCAAGGCTAACTAACTACAGTCTGCCCAGTAGTCAAATTTGTCCTGCAAATCAACGTCTAGACCTGTCTGTGTTTCTTTTTACAGAGACAACTGGAAAGTTTGCAAGCTTAGGGTTCTTGGGTTTGGTTTTGTTCTGGCTTTTTTCATTCGGGCTCTTTGATGTGATTGAGTGCAGTAGGTTTGCTGGTGAATTCCACGGAATGAAATTCTAATCAAACCTCTCATGCTTTGATTTGTCTCGGGGGTTCTAAAATGGGACATCTCATAAATAACAGCATTGGATAGTTGACCTGCCATGCTAGTCTTTTCCCTCGCCTCATTCCCTTCCCCTAAAAAATGACCTTATGCAGTCTTCGAAGAATAGATCATTGCTGAAAAGCTCATGTCCTTCCTCAAAAAACTTCAAACATTCAGTAATAATCAGTCCCTGGAGACTGACATTTAAACGGTCCTGTGCCCCACAGGTGCATGTTATTTCTCACATGTGGATAGTTGTTAAATATCTTTAGCTATTAAGGGGTTGCAGACATTTCCCAGGAAATCTAAGGACAACAACTTAGATTTCTTGGCTGAGTAGACGTGCTCTGGAGAGCTCCTGGGGAGCCATTTAAATATATAGAGTCACTAGTATTTGTAACAGTTTGTAAAAGATATTGCAGAATATATAGGTTCTAAAAACAAAATATAGAAAGATGGCACATGCTATAGGTTATAATAGGGAATTACAGAATTTTTAAACCAATCTATAGGATTCCATAGCTGAGATACCTTTTTCCATTAAATGCTATTGAGTTTTAGAATCCTTTCTGTAGACCCCTATAGGTTTCATTCTGATTCCATTGTATAGGACAGGGATTGGCAACCTTTGGCATGCGGCTCGCCAGGGTAAGCACCCTGGTGGGCCGGGACGGTTTGTTTACCTGCCGCGTCCGAGGGATGTGCTGGCCGCCACTTCTCGCAGCCCCCATTGGCCTGGAGCGGCGAGTGGAGTGGCCAGTGGGAGCCGTGATCGGCCGAACCTGCGGACACGGCAGGTAAACAAACCGGCCCGGCCTGCCAGGGTACTTACCCTGGTGAGCCGCATGCCAAAGGTTGCCGATCCCTGGTACAGGAGTTTTCCATAGGGGTAGATTTTACTTACTTTTGAAAATGTTTTTTGCCCTGTAAATGGTTTAGATTAGCTTCACTATTTTAGAAACTCTACCGAGATGCCTTTTTTTCTCCCCATTATTTGGATTCAAACATTTCCTTTTCTTTGTAAAATGCCATTGGGATCTGTAGATGGAAAAACACTCTGTAAGAACTAAGTATTTATTATTTTAATTAGAACTGGTCAAAAATATTCAGAATTTGCAAATTTAACAAAATGGTTGATCAGAGTTTCAGTGAGAAAACAGGTTGCAACTTTCAACAATTTTTTCCCCCACAAAAAATCCTCTGCTCCCTCATTTACTCCAACCCCTGCCTCCACCCTCTCTAAGAACCCTCAAGTAACCAATCAGGACTCTGTCTAGCCTGTCAGTATAGGAACCTATCAGTGTAATTCCTGACTTGGCTCAAGAGGTCAGTAATGAGCAACACAAACTGCTTCAGCCCACCCCACCCCCATCCTGCCCCATCGACCCCTGAGCTGAGTGCACTTATTCCCCCCGGCATCCAACGCTGGCAGCCTGGGGAACCCAGTGATCCCCACGCTCTTGTCACCAGACTGCCAGGCAAGCTCTCCCACTGACTTCACCGGGAGTCACATGCCGTGACAAATGGGTCCGGTAGGGTTTCTAAAGGAGGTCTGTTCTTTGCGAGCTGCTTAGATTTGGCAGCTGTAGTCAATAAGCCTTTTCTGAAAAGATGGTTTGTGCCTCTGACGGCGAGGGAGTGCTGGTACCTCTCATTGCAGAGTGCTGCAAGCCGGTGCCGTTGCACAGAGCCTGCAGAGTGTTTTAGTGACACGAGATGTGGCGTGGCACCGACTGAAGGTGGGGAGCGGGTAAAAAGTCACTTGACTGTTGGCATTTTTAACTGACATGAAACAGAAGGGTTGTTAGGGGAAGTGTTCCCAGTAGAGAGCCAGCAGCACCTCTTGCCTAGAATGAATGAGAAGCATTGACCGCCTTTTCAGAAGGGGACTGTTCTGAGTATTCATCACTCAAACCAAAGAATAGTCATGTGTGGCAGATTGACTTTATTGCTTAATTAAAAATTAAAATCATTGGCAAATAAACTCCTTCAGTCAGTTCCACAGCTGGTGTAAACTGGTGTAGCTCCATTGACTTCAACGGAGCTATGATTATTTGTACCAGTCAGATGCAGAAGGTCACTGTCTGAGAGTTAATTGAAGGATCAGGACCTACTCATGCTAAAAGCAGCCATGGGGAAAGTGGCTTCTTGCATTTATGATGGTATCTGAATTGGTATCACAGCACTGACCAGGATCCATGCTTAGTTTGATGCTGTTTTTTTACACAACGTTAACTATTTGCCTTTCAGGGCAGTGATGATCTCTTTTCTATGTTTGTGTCACGTCCAACACAATGGGGCCCCCAGTCCTCATTAGGGTGTTTAATAAACTTTAATAGTAATAGGTTTTTTTTAATGAATCAACTGTGTAACCATATGTAACTTCTGGTTTCTTCTCTTTGTGAACTGTTGTTTTATTTTGTTTTCCCCCCGTCTTTTTTCTAGTTATAGAATTTACAGCACATTTCATCCATCTCATCATGTGCACCCATACAAAGATCAAAGGATTGATTTTTTTTTTTTGATGTGCTGGTAGTAAAACAAATGTCTCTTAAAATTGCACGGTTGTTCCATAAGGTTTCTGTTGGTGTTAGTGTGGTGCGTGATTTGTGCTAAAACTTAGAGGCTCTTTCCTTTGCAAACTTCTACCTTATTTCTGGATAAGCATTGACTAGACAGTGATATTGAAAGCAATGTGTGTAACCTAGAGATGTGCTTACGTGGTGGTATTTGTATGCAGGTTCAGTTTCGTACCGGAGCACAAATAGCCTTTACTTTGAACCCTTACTTCAGGGATCCCCAATGCGGTGCCCGCGGGTGCCACGGCGCCTGCCGGGGCGTGTAAGTGCGCCCGCGTACTGGCCAGTGGACGAGCATCCGCCGAAATGCCACCGAGAAGCAGCGTCATCCAGAGGCATCGCCGCCGAAATGCCACCGATTTTCTGCGGCATTTCGGCGGCGACGCCTCTGGATGATGCTGTTTGTCGGCGGTGACGCCTATTGACGTTGCCGCTTGTCGGCGGCATTTCGGCGGATGCTTGTCCGCCGCCACGTCCTCCGTGGCTCGTCATCTGGCGCCCACTGGATGAAAAAGGGTGGGGACCACTGCCTTACTTTGTAACAGTAATGGAAATTGCACTCATAATTCTGGGCAGGATTGTGCAACCCTTGATCATACCTGGGAGCACTTGCTCATGCAAGTCGCGCCATTGATTTCAGTGGGGCTGCCCATGTGAGTAAGAGTCGCAAAACTGTAAATGTAAGTTACTACTATTAGGTTTTTGCTCCCATAGATTAACCTTAAGCTTGCACTAACTGCTTTTCTCTTTCTTTCACTTATTAGCCAAAGATGTGACTTACATCTGCCCGTTCACTGGAGCTGTAAGAGGAACCCTGACTGTTACAAACTACAGACTATATTTCAAAAGCATGGAAAGGGTAAGCTTTGTAACCATTTAATTCCTTGGTCTACTGTATGTTCTGAAGTGCTGGGCCCTCCGTTATGACTCTGTATAAATAGCGGTTATATGTTTTGGTGGTTGGTTTATTTGTTTTTTCCTTTTAAACTAACAAATTTCAACTGTCTCCAGGACCCACCGTTTGTCCTAGATGCTTCTTTAGGTGTGATCAACAGAGTGGAGAAAATTGGAGGTGCTTCCAGCCGTGGTGAGAATTCTTATGGACTGGAGATTGTATGCAAGGTAAGTGGGCCTGGGGAAAAGATTTCTTTTTAAAGAAGGTGTCCCGCTGCCTGGTATGGGACACAGGTAAGAGCGCCAAGCTCAGACTGCCAGAAAACAGGGCATGTTCCCCAAACTGGTGGTACATCCTATAATAAGATTTCAGCAAGCCAGTGACAAATGTATGCTTCCAAAATACTATACTAGTTATTATGGAGCCACAGACAAAGTTCCCTTCAGGCCCTCTAGCCCCTTATGCACCACCGAGACTAACCAGACTTCTGTGATAAATGATTATTAAAACTAGAAATCACATATATTAGGTTCGTCCAGTTCCAAAGAACCAGACACCCACCCCAGGTCAAAATATACTTCAGATCTTATCCAAAAACCACACTGGTAGCTAATCCTTTAGAACACTAAAGGTTTATTAATACAAAAAAAGGGAAGAGAGTTATTAAATGCTTAAAGTGAATCATATACATCATAGTTGATTTCAGAGTTTGTAGACCAGGATAATAGCAGTGATGTTAAATCTGCTATCTTGCAATAAGTCTCTCTGCATCACCCAAAAGATTGGGGGTCCTCAGTCCATTGTTCAAAGCTTCCCTTTGTTAGAAATCATAATCCAGAAAGGTGGAGCAGAAAAGAGGCAAAGAGGTGGTGTCACAGTCTCCATTTATATCCTCAGCCAATGTGTATGAAAAGTTACTGTCTCAAACATGGAATCAAGGATCACATGTTCTATGTGCCCTGCTGAGTCACTTCGCCTCCTTTGTCCATTGCTCTCTGAGGCGTTCTCAGGAGGGGCTCTTACAGTGGAGATTGTGTGTGAGAGAGAGAGAAACTGACTCTGTAGGCCAATCCCGTGGGATGTGGGCGATCCAGGTTCAAGTACATCCTCTGAGTCGGGGTATTATGGGATGGGTTTTGACCAGAAATTCCATCCTGGACCCAAAAAACTTTCCTGATGAAAGTTTTATCAAAACCGATATAGTTCCATGAAAAGTTTTGGTGTCAATGACTCAGCATTTTCCAACAAAAAAATGATTAGTTGAAAAATTCCCTACCAGCCCTAGAGAGCACACGAATCTCCTTCCAGATCATTAACCAGTCTTCACCTCTTGTACATAGTCCATGGCAAGGGAAGGACAAGGGGATCCAGGGCCTTTGTTGAATGATTTATTTATTCATTTATTTCAATTTAATAAATTCAAAAGAATACCCGTCCAACAATCTTGGATCAATTAACTGTACAATCTTAATACAATCAGCATATCATCCCCTAACATCTAGCCACTACTTAACCAGCCCATAAATAAATAAATAAAGCCCCTACCTAACCCCAGCCAGCCACCACAAATGATTGCACACAACGGCAGATGTTGTTTCGTGCCCAGAAGATCATCAAAGCTGGGCTATGTCAGACCAAGGTAGGGAAGGGGAAAAATGAATTCCAAAGGCAACACCCTACCTGTAGTTCCTTCCCTTATACAGCAAGGGAGCTCGGGCTCAGGCACCCCTGTGGCCACAGCAGTGGTCGTATTGTATGGGGAGAAAGGCGGTTTCTGAAGTAAACTGAACTCAGGCCTTTAGGACAAGGCCCAGGTCCAAGAGGAAAGGATACTACAGCCTCCTGGTCAAATGAGTGGAAAAAAGACAGTCCTGGTCTCTGTTACTGTTTGAGCAGCTGGGATTCTATCGAGACTCCCAAACTGTGAACATGCCTAGTTGAGGGAATTGGATATAATCTGAGACAAATCCTCTAGTTGCTTCCTCAATGCACCATAGATGTTGTCTTCTCTGGACACTATGTCTCCTGAAATTTACTCTGCGTGAGAAGCAGGATCCAGATCCAAGCAAGGCAGCCGTCTATTTTCTTTAGCTGTTTCTCTCATTTTTTCTTTTGGCCTGACTCCTCATACATGAAAGAGGGATATTCATGTATATGAACCCTCTAGTGTGACCACCATTTTCCATTGGTTACTATAGGCTCTTAAATTGCTTACTACAAATCTCTGTGTTTTGGGTGAGGAGTTTCTCCCTTTTGGGTAAAATGTAGTGAACCTGGCTTCTTGTAGCTTCAGAATTTTGGTTTTGTAGGAAAGTACAATATATTGGTCTTCGTGATCTAGCCGGACCATTGACCTTGTTCATAGAAACTGTTCAGATGTAGAAACCCGGGTTACAATTCTGTATTTCAATTCTCCTTGGATTCCTCGGAATCACTATGCACATTCAAGTTGTATTTAAGGTAATAACAGTTTGATGTGATGGTTTGTTTAACTTTTCTAGGACATTCGAAACTTACGGTTTGCTCATAAACCTGAGGGACGAACTAGGCGATCCATATTTGAGAACTTAATGAAATACGCTTTTCCAGTATCCAATAATTTGGTAGGTATTTCTCCTGCTGTTACTGGAAGATGCAGAATGTTGGTGCCCAGCTTTGTTCAGATAATGCACTATTTTTATGGGGCGATTTTATTTGTGAGAGGAGAATGCTAATCTTAAATCCTTTCTGGGTATGTCTACACTGTGCCAGCTGACTTGGGCTAAGGGGCTCAGGCTAAGAGGGTGTTTAATTGCCGTGTAGACATTTGGGCTTGGGCTGCAGCCAGAGCTCTGAGACCCTCCCATCTCTCAGGTTCCTAGAACCTGAACATCTACAGTGCAGTTCAACAGCCCCTTAGCCCGAGTCAGCTGGCACAGGCCTGCCGCAGGTTTTTAATTGCAGCGTAGACGTACCCTGTGTGGACAAAATGCTGCTTAGAAGGAGGTCTTCTGGAATTCCAGGTGTGTTGAAAGGACAGGAGGTCTGGTCTAGTGATTAAAGCACAAGATCAGGAGTCCTAAGGTTGGATTCTGTTCCTGTATCTGTCAGTGATGTCCAAGATGACCTTGGGCAAGTCACTTTTTTTGTCTCATTTCTAAAATAATAATAAATTGCTTACTCCCCAGGAGTGCTGAGACTTTCTTAATTAATATATGTAAAGCAATGCGATGTTAAATGGAAAGTATTCTGTAAGTGTAAATTATTATTATTATTTATTAATAGTTATTAAATGCCTGTACAGCCTCAAAGCCTGATCCAACTCTACTGAAGTCAACGGGAGTCTTTTCATTGACTTTATGGGAGGTAGAGCAGCAGTTTGTCACATTTTACATGAAATTGTTTGAGCAAAGGGAGAATGCACGGTTCATAAATTCCCCAATCCTGCAACTTTGTGTGCATGTGCATTCCATGTCTGCACCAGGGAGACCCGCTGATATGAGCATCAGCGAGAGAACTCACCTGTGCCATGCTTGAGTGGGACCTACTTATTTCAGTGGGGCTCTGTGCAGACAGATTGGTGCGTCCACATGCAAGCAGTTGCAGGATCATGCCATATTTTGTAACTGAAATATAGTATAGTATATTCTTTTTCATGTGTAAAGGAAATGCAACTCCTCTGTGTCACTGTACAATTATTTGAGAAGCCTGGGCGGGGAGTTTTCTCACTGATGCTCACATGCTTGTAATGAAGCAAAATGTTCAGGATACAATTAAATCTGTCAAGTATCAGAGGGGTAGCTGTGTTAGTCTGAATCTGTAAAAAGCAACAGAAGGTCCTGTGGCACCTTCAAGACTAACAGAAGTATTGGAGCATAAGCTTTCGTGGGTGAATGCCACGAATGGTCTGATGAAGTGGGCATTCACCCACGAAAGCTTATGCTCCAATACTTCTGTTAGTCTTAAAGGTGCCACAGGACCCTCTGTTGCTTTTTAAATCTGTCAGAGGTTCACAGTCAATATTTGGCTGACTACTCTCACATCTGCAGAACTGCTGGTCCATTCAAGGATGTGATGACCATGCAGTTGTTGTTTTACATCAGGGATTCTCAAACTGGGGGTCAGGACCCCTCAGGAGGTCGCAAGGTTATTATACGGGGGGTCATGAGCTGTCAGCCTCCACCTCAAACCCCGCTTAGCCTCCAGCATTTATAATGGTGTGAAATATATAAAAAAGTGTTTTTAATTTATAAGGGAGGTCGCACTTGCTATGTGAAAGGGGTCACCAGTACAAAAGTTTGAGAACCACTGGTTTAGATGCTGGTGGGTAAAGGATGTACTTCTACATAATGTGTGAGAGGAGCCTTCTTGCCACACAAGTCATTTTCTTTTAATAATAAACACCTTTTGTCCCTGTGATGTAGGAGGTAATGGATCAGTGTGATAATGAACATGGAAGAATGTACATTAGTGTGTTAATTACGCTGTAGAAAGGGAGTGTCAATTACTTTACAAAGGCTTAAAGAAAAGTAGTGTAGTAGAAACAAAAGAAGAGTCGCAAGTTATTATATGAGATGTCAGATAACATGAAAAATGAACTTTGAGTATTTAATGCTAAATGTTCTTTCTCTCAGCCCCTTTTTGCATTTGAATACAGAGAGGTTTTCCCTGAAAATGGCTGGAAGGTGTACGATCCTATTTTGGAATACAGAAGACAGGTAGGTGCTTGTTTCACATCCTTGCTCCTGTACATTATTCTTCGAAAGTTAAGGTCTTTGCTGGAATATAATTACTGATTGTATGTAAGGAGGAATAACCTGACTCAGAAGTGTCTGCAGGATCAGGGCATTGGTCAGCATATTTCAGTAACTGACAGCAGAGGTACAGCTGCACAAGCAGTAACAACACCTTAAACATTAGTGTAAATGGGATTCAGGTTGCCGGCTGTTTTCATGATAATGTGGTAAAAACGCCTGTGGCCCTGTCTACATTATCGGCTACACGGTTGCTGGCAGCTGCTGAAATGAGTGCTAATTTTGCTAGTGGAGACACAAGCCCATTGAACTTTCTAGGGTATGTCTAGAAAACCACTACCATGGTTCTCCAATTGCTGTTGTTAATTCACCTGCCCGAGAGGTGGTAGCTAGGTCGATGGAAGAATTCTTCTGGCAGACTGGCACTGTCTGCACCAGGGGTAAGAGGATTTTTACACCCTGAGAGACATAGCTATACCACTCTAAGTTTTCAGTGTAAATCAGCCCCTATTCAGTGATGGGTTACGGTTTTTCCATCGTGCTTTAATTTGTTTTAATCCTTTTTCTATACATTTACAGTTTCCTAAGGGTTTTTCTTTTTAAATCAAAAAATGTTTCTTTAAAGAGTATTTTTAAATGATTTAAGTAGGAAGTTGGAAGGAGAAAATCCATATAAATGTTGAAATAGATGCTGTATGTTGTCTTGGGGGCTATTTTAAGGGATCAGCCTAGGCAGGGTAAGGTACAAATGTTCGTAGGCTGGAACAAAGGTTTGGAGTGTATCCAGACTGGCCTTTACAAAGCTGTTAATTACTTTGAGTTAATTGGCAATCAGTTAACTTGAGGTAACGAACTCTAGGGGTACGTCTACGCTGCAATAAAAGACCCATGGCCTGGGTCAGCTGACTTGGGGTTGTGGGGCTTGGGCTGCCAGGCTATAAAATTGCAGTGTAGACTTCCAGGGCGCAGGGTGGGGGAACCCTACCAACTTCTTCCTAGTGTAAATACTGCCTCGGATTATGTCTTCTCTGCAAGAAAAGTGGGTTATTTGCACTCTCAGTGTAAAATCAGAGGGGAGAACAACGCTCAGGTATATATCTAGTTGAGATCAACCATCTTTCTTCCCCCACCCCCACCCCCACCCCCACCCCATCCCTCAAGCCTAGGGTTTACCTTGACTAGTTACATTAAGGTAAAAATTACAAAGCCTTGTCTCCTCTAGGATGTTACATTGAGTTAGCTATCTCGGTGTGAAAACACACCTGGGTTTTGCAGTGAAGACAAGGCATGATCTGAATTCTGACTGTGATGGAACATAGTCATTACCATACCAGATCAGATCCAACATCCATCTTGTCTTCAAAAATGATTGGTACCAGCTGCTAAAGAGCAAGACACAAGCAACCCTTCAATAGGCAGTTATGGTATGACCTGGCCCCCTTTAATTAGAGGTTTGCTTAGGTCCTGAATCATGAGGGTATATGTCCCTTGCCAAACTTTGGGGTATTTCAATTTATTTATTTATTTATTGCTGTTTGTAACTCTGGATGTTCTCATTGTCTGGGTCTGCATAAGTGTCTAATCCTTGTTTTGACTCTTTACTTGAATCTTGTTGAATACATTGGATAATGTGTAAATAATATAATATTCGTGTTAAAATAATAGCTGTCCATTAATAAATCAGTATTGTGTTCCTGGCATGGTACTGGGATTTGTGCATACTGTAACAAAACTGGGATAATATAGCAAATTTGATAATGAGATTACCTGTCTGTGACCATATGAAGTGTGAACAGAAATCACAGATGCAAAATGTATGTGTTATCTAGAGAACCTCTGGAATGGATTTAAAAAATTCTGAGAGCGCTGGTCTTGGCACAAGCAGTGCATTGATTCTACGGGGACCCCATGGTCTTGCATGTTAATTGGCATCTCACAGACCAAGTGAATCTTCTCCCTCTGGGTGCGGGAGTAGAGGGCAACAAGTAGAATCCAGCTGTCAGGCATTCAGAAAAGGCCTGACTTCTGGAGGAGGATAGGGTTGCCAATGCTAGATGTGTTTGAAACCATGGATGTGATGTGATCTCTTCAGATTTGTATAAATGATCTAGAGGACATTTCTACAACAGAGATCCTGGAGATTAGGAAGGACGTTTAGTGAACCCAAAACTACTCTGTAAATGTCCCTGAGAAAAGAGAGAAAATGTGTAACTTATTAAAAATTATCGGTCACATAAAATGATGGAGAATAATAAACAACGTGTAGAGAACAAAAGGACCTCAGAGAGGCTTGGGTCTGAATTGGTAATTGAGATCATATGTGGAAAATTAAATTTCCAACTGAAATCGCTCCCTGATTTTTATTACACACTGACTGGCAAAATATGAAACAGAACTGCCAAACGAATAAAATTCAGCTAAACCCAAAAGTCTTCTAGATTACTTGGGAATAACGTAAAGCTTTCAATTTCAAACAAGGTGGGGAGCAATTGGAAAATCTTACAAGGGGTTCTGAAGCTTGAAATGTGAGATGTTTCCCTAAGGAAGCCGTGCTGGAATGATACTATGCTCTGGTTAGATGCGTGGTGGAACCACAGCATGCAGGTTTCAGAACAAACAAATAGGAAAAGGTACTTGCAGCAGTGCTGTAGAGGGAAGAGCATCAATGCTTACCCAGAAGCAGAAAGGTAGAGAAAGAGAACAGATTTTTAAAGGGGAACATTTCCTAGGAAGGGAAAACAGGAATTGATCGGAAATGTTTCAAAACCAGGCTTAGTGTAGAATCTGCCCTCAATTAGACTCTGATCCAGTAAAGCAGTTAAGCTCATGCTTAACTTTAAGCATGAGACTAGTCAGTGGAAAGTACTTATGCTCAGTGATGAGCTCCCAAAATCCTAATAACCGGTTCCCTACTGGGTCCTCAGCGGCACTTCGGCGGCAGGGGGGGTCTTCACTCGCTCCGGGTTTTCGGCGGCATTTCGACGGCGGGTTCTTCCCCCCCCCCCGCCAAGGCCCCGCTATGGAACTCCGCGGTGAGTACAAGCCCCCCTTGCCTTTCCCCCCCCCCCCCCCTCCGCCCCCACCCCCCCCCCCGCCCCCCCCCCGTCAGAACCCCCAACCCACCCCCCCCCCCCCCCCGCTCCTTGTCCCCTAACCACCCCCTCCCGAGACCAGGGCTGAAAGTAAGTCCAGTGACTTACCAGTTCACTAGGGGCAGGGCCTAGGGCGGAAGGGGCGTGGCTGAGGGAGTCAGAGCCAGCCCCAGCCTACCCTGTAAGGTAAGTGCCCCCCCACCCCCACCGGGGTAGCAGCAGCAGCCCGGGGCTCCAGGGGCTATTTAAAGGGCCCGGGGCTCCCCTGCTTCTACTGCCCCAGTCCTGTAAATAGCCACGGGAGCCCTGGGGAAGCGGCAGGGCTCCCGCGGCTATTTAAAGGACCAGGTCGGCAGAGGCAGCTGGAGCCCCGGACCCTTTAAATAGCCCCTGGAGTCCCCCGCTACCCCTGAGCTCTTGGGGCTATTTAATGGGCCTGGGGCTCCCCTGCTTCTACAGCCCCAGCCCTGTAAATAGCCACGGGAGCCCTGGGGAAGCGGTGGGGCTCCCGCGGCTATTTAAAGGGCCGGGGCAGTAGAAGGAGCCGGAGCCCTGGACTTTTTAAATAGCCTCCAGAGCCCCGCAGCCCTACCCCAGGGCTCCAGCAGTGGGGCTTTGGTGGCAATTTAAAGGGCCTGGGACAGGACGGTCCCACGGGCCGGATGTGGCCCACGGACCAGAGTTTGCCCATCCGCTGGCCCCTTTAATAACCGTTTCTACACCGGCTTCTAAATTTAACAACCGGTTCTTGCGAACCGGTGCAAATCGGCTTCAGCTCACCACTGCTTATGCTTAACTTTAAGCACATGTGCTTTATGGGATTGTGGCTGTCAGACCCAGTCTGATTCAATGTCTGCAGTTTCACCATGTGACCAGCAGGGGGAGTGATTCAGTTGAATAAAAGGTTTCAGAGTAGCAGCCGTGTTAGTCTGTATCCGCAAAAAGAACAGGAGTACTTGTGGCACCTTAGAGACTAACAAATTTATTAGAGCATAAGCTTTCGTGGGCTACAACCCACTTCTTCGGATGCATATTGAGTGAAACATATCGAGGAGATATATATACACACATACAGAGAGCATGAACAGGTGGGAGTTGTCTTACCAACTCTGAGAGGCCAATTAAGTAAGAGAAAAAAAACTTTTGAAGTGATAATCAAGGTAGCCAAGTACAGACAGTTTGATAAGAAGCAAGTGTGAGAATACTTACAAGGGGAGATAGATTCAATGTTTGTAATGGCTCAACCATTCCCAATCCCTATTTAGCCCTGAGTTGATTGTGTCTAGTTTGCATATCAATTCCAGCTCAGCAGTCTCTCGTTGGAGTCTGTTTTTGAAGTTTTTCTGTTTTAAGATAGCCACCCGCAGGTCTGTCATAGAATGGCCAGACAGGTTAAAGTGTTCTCCCACTGGTTTTTGAGTGTTATGATTCCTGATGTCAGATTTGTGTCCATTAGTTCTTTTGCGTAGAGACTGTCCGGTTTGGCCAATGTACATGGCAGAGGGGCATTGCTGGCACATGATGGCATATATCACATTGGTAGATGTGCAGGTGAACGAGCCCCTGATGGTATGGCTGATGTGATTAGGCCCTATGATGGTGTCACTTGAATAGATATGTGGACAGAGTTGGCATCGGGCTTTGTTACAAGGATAGGTTCCTGGGTCAGTGTTTTTGTTCAGTGATGTGTGGTTGCTGGTGAGTATTTGCTTTAGGTTGGGGGGTTGTCTGTAAGCAAGGACAGGTCTGTCTCCCAAGATCTGTGAGAGTAAAGGATCATCTTTCAGGATAGGTTGTAGATCTCTAATGATGCGCTGGAGAGGTTTTAGTTGGGGGCTGAAGGTGACAGCTAGTGGTGTTCTGTTATTTTCTTTGTTGGCCCTGTCTTGTAGGAGGTGACTTCTGGGTACTCGTCTGGCTCTGTCAATCTGTTTTTTCACTTCAGCAGGTGGGTATTGTAGTTTTAAGAATGCTTGATAGAGATCTTGTAGGTGCTTGTCTCTATCTGAGGGATTGGAGCAAATGCGGTTATATCTTAGAGCTTGGCTGTAGACAATGGATCGTGTGGTGTGTCCTGGATGGAAGCTGGAGGCATGTAGGTAAGTGTAGCGGTCAGTAGGTTTCCGGTACAGGGTGGTATTTATGTGACCATCGCTTATTAGCACAGTAGTGTCCAGGAAATGGACCGCTTGTGTGGATTGATCTAGGCTGAGGTTGATGGTAGGATGGAAATTATTGAAATCATGGTGGAATTCCTCAAGGGCTTCTTTTCCATGGGTCCAGATGATGAAGATGTCATCAATGTAGCGCAAGTAGAGTAGGGGCGTTAGGGGACGAGAGCTAAGGAAGCGTTGTTCTAAGTCCGCCATAAAAATGTTGGCATACTGTGGGGCCATGCGGGTACCCATAGCAGTGCCGCTGACTTGAAGGTATATATTGTCCCCAAATGTGAAATAGTTGTGGGTGAGGACAAAGTCACAGAGTTCAGCCACCAGGTTAGCTGTGACATTATCGGGGATACTGTTCCTGATAGCTTGTAGTCCATCTTTGTGTGGAATATTGGTGTAGAGGGCTTCTACGTCCATAGTGGCCAGGATGGTGTTTTCTGGAAGATCACCGATGGATTGTAGTTTCCTCAGGAAGTCAGTAGTATCTTGAAGATAGCTGGGAGTGCTGGTAGCGTAGGGTCTGAGGAGAGAGTCCACATAACCAGACAAGCCTGATGTTAGGGTGCCAATGCCTGAGATGATGGGGCGTCCAGGATTTCCAGGTTTATGGATCTTGGGTAGCAAATAGAATGTCCCTGGTCGGGGTTCTAGGCATGTATCTGTACAGATTTGTTCCTGTGCTTTGTCAGGGAGTTTTTTTAGCAGATGGTGTAGTTTCTTTAGGTAATCCTCAGTGGGATCAGAGGATAATGGCTGGTAGAATGTGGTGTTAGAGAGCTGTCTAGCAGCCTCTTGGTCATATTCCAATTTATTCATGATGACGACTGACATCAGGAATCATAACACTCAAAAACCAGTGGGAGAACACTTTAACCTGTCTGGCCATTCTATGACAGACCTGCGGGTGGCTATCTTAAAACAGAAAAACTTCAAAAACAGACTCCAACGAGAGACTGCTGAGCTGGAATTGATATGCAAACTAGACACAATCAACTCAGGGCTAAATAGGGATTGGGAATGGTTGAGCCATTACAAACATTGAATCTATCTCCCCTTGTAAGTATTCTCACACTTGCTTCTTATCAAACTGTCTGTACTTGGCTACCTTGATTATCACTTCAAAAGTTTTTTTTCTCTTACTTAATTGGCCTCTCAGAGTTGGTAAGACAACTCCCACCTGTTCATGCTCTCTGTATGTGTGTATATATATCTCCTCGATATGTTTCACTCAATATGCATCCGAAGAAGTGGGTTGTAGCCCACGAAAGCTTATGCTCTAATAAATTTGTTAGTCTCTAAGGTGCCACAAGTACTCCTGTTCTTTTAGTTGAATAAAAGTTTATATGCTGCGTGTTTAGATGATGTGAATGTAAGTAAGTGATTAAAGAATAGCGTGAGTCAATACTATGAGGCAGATTGTGTCTGGCCCCTGAATGGAGGGGGCATACATTGCTTTCCTTCCTGTGCCCTCACCCAGGGACTATGCACAGATGCAACTTTTGATGCTCCTGTGTTCAGGGACTGCAAGTGGTGCTAGCCTACCTGGAGAAGATAAACCATCTCCCTACCAGGCATCCATACCTCTCCGTGTGTGTCAGCTTGTCTCCCTGTCAGATCTCACTGACTGCTGCTCCCTGCATCAGGGAGTGTCACTTTAAATCTTACTCAGTCCTTTAATCACCTCCCTTCACAGGAATCCAGTCCCTTTGTAACTGTTTATAGCCCTTTGATCTGCTAATGCCCCGCTCAGGGCTGGCTCTACTGTTTTTGCCGCCCCAAGCAGACAGAAGCCGCCGAATTGCCACTGCGGGCAGCTGAACATAGAAGCTGCCGCCGAATTGCCGCCGCCGCGGAAACGCGCGTTCCGCCCTAACGGCACACAGACTCTCCCCGCCGTCCGCGGCGGCAATTCGGCGCGCTGCTTGGGGAAGCAAAAACACACGGACTTGCAGATTGCCGCCCCAAGCACCTGCTTGGAATGCTGGTGCCTGGAGCCGGCTCTGGCCCCGCTTTAGCAAAACAAGGCGTGCAGCTTGACAGAGACAGAGGTAGGAAGGGTCCTTGCAACTCATAGCCTGCCTCATTCTCTTCCAAGTGTGTACCAGGATGTTCTCATCTGGCAAGCCATTGTGTTGCTTTCCTGTTCAGCCCCCATTGAATTCAAGCATTACAGGCATATAATAAACACTCCACTGCTCCCAATACAAGTTAGATTAGTACAATCATACGGGAAATTCTAATAACCTACCATAGTTATACAGTAGCCTCACCTCGCTGACCAGGCCCCTTTCAGTGTTCATAAAACTCTTCCATCTCAGTATTCTTAGATTATTACATACTAGTTCCACAACTGCCACACTGGGCGCTATAGGAAAAAGTGCTTCTGGATCCCAGAATTCACAGGTGCAGCCACATGCCAAAACAGTTGTCAAAACAGAATTGGTGTGTGGACACCCTAAACCAGAGCTGCTCAGTTCCTTATGAACTTGGCTTGGTGGACTGGTTGATGGGAACCCTGTGTCCTCTGAACCATGTCCTGACACAGCTGCTAACATTGCACCTTTATTTTCTCTCTCGTTTTTCCATTATCTGTTCTCCCCCCAACCCTTCTCTTTTCCATGTGCTTTACTGACTCTTCTCCCTTCTGGTCTCCCCTTCACCTTGTCTGGTGGCTCCCATCCCCACTCTCCCACTCACCAAAAAGGCGAGCATCACTGGGGCACCATCCAAGGTTGAGCTGAGCAACAGAGAAGAAGAGAAGCTTGGGCTAGCCGGCTCCTATCCTGCGCTCTATAGTCATGAGCTGTTCCTCCAGCTTGTTACGTTAGGGGCCACAATGGGAGCAGGGAGAAAGTTGCTCTCAAAGCATTGCTTCACAGTATATTTTCCATGAGTGTGATTTTGGGTCTTGTAGTTTTACCCACCTTCCCTGATATTCTCCACTGCTCTGTCTCCATGAACTAAATCACTGTCCCTCTTGCAGGGGAGCACTTTACCAACTCATCACAAAGACATGGGAGGTAACCGGCCATTTCATACAATCTGCGTTGCTGCCATAAGTTTCCTTACTTAATACAGACACGCTTGTTTGTGCCCTTGAATTTAAATTCTTAGAAGTGACGGCAAAGTCCACTGGTCTCTTTTCCTTGGGTTGGGGACCCTGTAGTAGTTTATTTTCTAAACTAGTGTTGTTTCATATGCAGGGAATTCCCAATGAAAGCTGGAGAATAACCAAGATAAACGAGCGCTACGAGCTGTGTGATACATATCCTGCCATTCTAGTCGTGCCCGTGAATATTCCAGATGAAGAATTAAAGAGAGTGGCATCTTTCAGATCAAGGGGTCGCATACCAGTGAGTATGACAAAGGAAGACACTTTGATGTGGTTTTATAAAGACCTTTGTACCATAAATAATGCAATGATCAGACAAAGAGGATGCCATGGAGCAAACCCAAATGATTGATGGATAATAAAAACAACGGGGAGACCTCTGCAAGGAGTTTGAAGGCAGCATTTTCTGTGGAATTAGTGTCATGAAAGAGACATAGACTAAACTGAAGTGCTAAGAAGATAAGAAAATTGAACTAAATCCAGACTTAATTTTCTAGGATACAAAATTAGCCCTGTTAATTATTCAGAATTTTCTGCCTTTTCTGATTTTTTTTTAGGGGGGGTAAATGAATACTTTTTTTCGGAAGTCCTTTATTATTGTTAAAGAAGACTCTTATTTAACATCAGGTTGTAAATAAGGAATGTCATAATCATTACCTTTATTTCAGAAGCAGCCAATATTATGCTATTTGCTTCACAGATATATAAAAAGACAAGTCCCTGCCCAAAGGAGCTTACAGTTTAAATGGGGAACACTAAAACAAAATTCAGCACAATGGGCATGCGTGAAAAGGGGTCTGTCTTACTCAGCTCATAACTGAATGGCAGGAGAATTAGCTGTACTCCATAGAAAAGTCAGGTTTAAGCATATTCATACATTTGTAAGTGGGTTCCAGCTTTGGGAACGTACTGAAGTGAAAGAACAAAATACAGGACAATGCTGTCACTTTTTAATTCAGTCATGACTTAATTTGATCCAATCCTCTGGAACCAAATCAATACAAGGAATGGATCCAATGGAATCAGCTATAGGTAAATCATTTCACTATCCTACTGAATTCCTGTCTCCACTTTCCCCCCTGTGTATTGTTAAAGGTTTTGTCATGGATTCATCCCGAAAGCCAAGCTACGATCACGCGCTGTAGCCAGCCGATGGTTGGAGTGAGTGGAAAGCGAAGCAAAGAGGATGAAAAGTATCTTCAGTCCATCATGGATTCCAATGCTCAGTCCCATAAAATCTTCATCTTTGACGCAAGGCCTAGCGTTAATGCGGTAGCCAATAAGGTTAGATGTGCTCTCCTCTCTCAGTGGCAGGGGATGTTGCAATTCAGAGCTAGCCTACCACCCTCCTTTAATAGTATCCGCGAGGATGAAGATGCGGTTGCCGTGATAGAATTGTTGCATTGACAATGGCTCCAGTCCTGCAGCTAGATCCGTGCAGGTAGAGCCTTGCCACCTGCACAGAGTCCTGCTGATGTCAGTGGAACTCCACCTGCATGAATCCAGTTGCAGGATCAGGGCCTCACACTGTAGAGGAAGAAAAGACCAGTGAGCCAGCCACAGAGGGTTTAAGAACAGGCTTTGTTCAGGGCGTTTTGATCAGCAGTTCAGAACAGAGATTCTGGCACCTTGAATCTTGGATGCTTCTGTTTTTCTGTGCCCAGCAGCTTGGGCCTGATTCCCTCTGTGCATGTTGACTTTAACAGGACCTGTGGATGTTCAGGACCATTGAAAATAGGGCCTGAGATGCCTCAAGCTGGGCACCTGACATCCACGGTTGCTTTTGAAAATGTGATGGCCTGTCATGTGATTTCTCAGCGTCAGACAGAGATTCCGTGGAATGACTAGGAATGCAGCCCAGGACCAGACCCGTGTGTTAATGTTATGTAGCATACAATAGATATCGAGCTTTGTTTACATGCGAGAATCCCTTTGCTGCCTACGCTCCGGATTTTCTCTATGTTCATCACCCCTTAAAGGCAATTTACCTGTGGGGAAAATGCAACCCTTCCCATAGGATCCCAAAGTGGGACTGCCAGACTGCAATATAGTGAGTCTGATGAATTTGTAACTTCAGGGGTGGTAACTCATAATTTTCAAAAAGAAAAATTAACACCTGTATATGATATTCAGCAGTTTAACATAGGTGAAAATTACCGTATTAAGGAAAAACCATTTCTGCAGGAAAAATCTATTAAGATTATGTACAGGAATAGCCTTGTCCCCATTTATAAAATGAATACAATGCATAGGTCTGTTTCCTGCTTTCTTTCATCATGATTTTGATAGCCGATTTGTAATTGTTTTGATAATACATATCAAATAATATCTGTCCTGTAAATGCTACTGGGTTGAAAGACCAAACACATTTTTGTTAATGATTTCCTATGGGTTTGTTTTTATTTCCCAGGCTAAAGGAGGGGGTTATGAAAGTGAGGATGCCTATCAGAATGCAGAATTAGTTTTCTTGGACATTCACAATATTCATGTTATGAGAGAATCATTGAGAAAACTGAAGGAGATCGTATATCCTAACATTGAGGAGACTCATTGGCTGTCCAATTTGGAATCAACTCATTGGCTGGAACATATCAAGGTGTGCATGTGTGTTAGTATCCGTGATGTATGTATCTGTCTAAAAGCAGAAGTGTCTGTCTACTCCTGGGACAGTTGCGAGGCAGCTGCTACTTTGTGTTTCATTTCAGACTCAGAATATTACAGAATAAGATCCTGATCCTGCAAAGACTTACACATCTGCTTAACTTTATACACTCTCAGGAGTTCCATTGTGGTCAATGGGAAGTTCATTGGGACTCATGATAGTGAGTAAAGTTAAGCACATGCATATAGCTAAGCACATGTGTAAGTCTTTGCAGGATTGGGGCCAAAGTCCAAGTGTTCTCTCTCACAGAAACTTTATATTAAATCTTTCTTTCATTCTTGTTTTTCTTACTCTTCTATAAAAGTAATCTACACTGAAAATATATGTTTTTCACTTCGTATGGGAGAAAATATAATGGCACCAGATGAATTATTAAGTCATTTTCATCCCCCGGAGGGAAATCTTTTTAAATAAGATGCTCTATAATCCTGATAAACCAAGAGAGAGAAAAAAAATGAGGGGCTTATTTGTGTAAAGTGCTGAGTACCATCAGCTTCCCCTGCTTTAGATGGGTATTAAGGGCTCCCAGTTGCAAACAGCCCTAGAGAGAGAGAGAAAAAAAGCCATTTACTTATAAATAAGAAGCTTCCAGCTGCCACATTAACATAGATTTTTGCTAGATTTGGCCTATGATTTTTATCATATGTTGTCATTCACTGAAAATCAGTGAGGGTTTCTCCTCTCCAAAATGTAAACTTTGTATGTGGGTTCATACTACACAGGTGTCCCAGGGAAAGCCAGCAGTTTCAAGTCTAAAAGTGGGAGGTAGCAAGCCAAATCTTTGGGAAGAGTAGTACCCTATGTTGTTTGTCCTGCACTGTTCCTTATAGCTGAGTAGTTTGATGTCAGCTGTTCAGTTGGCAGAAAATATTTAGCCAAAGTAAATCAGTATTCCACGGGTGCCTGTGTTCATAGATAGATAATTTTTGGGGTGAATAACCTATTAATGTAAAAATGTCTAATGCACTAACACTTGGAACAAGGGCTTGTCTACATGGGGAAATTGACCAGGTTAGCTACAGTGTGAATAATTATTCCTCTATAGTTATACCAGCCAATTTCCCTATGTACACACACCCCAAGTCTCACTCATCTGACAAAATTAGAGTACCTGTATTTGCAGGGTTGGCACATAAAGGTCAACTCCCTGAAATTATGCATTTACACGAAAAAAAGGATAGTACAGAGCTGTTTTTGGAAAAGCAGGCTTGCCAGTTTCTTCCTTCGGCAAAATATAACCAATCTAGTTTTCCCATGTACACTACTGCTGTAGCCGAGACAAGGGACTTGGTTACAGCAGCACTGTTCCCTGACATGGTTAAAACAGGATTAAAATTGTAGTGTAGATGGGATTTAATTGTGTCCAGGTAACTGGGTTTAAATCCTGGACTGGCCAAGTATTTAATCTGGCTACTGGGACACTTCCAGAGTCATGTCTACCCTACAACTTGTAACCTCTCTGGGGCATAACCACCCTGTAACCAAGCCCGTCTCGGTTATAATTGTGAAGCAGATATGGCCCTTGTCTTGTCTAGAGGTGTCACAGGCAATTCTCCACTTGTAGTTCATATTCTATGGAGAAACTTCACTAATGCCCTGTCTGTGTCGCAGCTAATTCTTGCCGGCGCTCTTCGGATTGCTGATAAGGTGGAGTCGGGGAAAACCTCCGTGGTTGTGCACTGCAGCGATGGCTGGGACCGAACAGCTCAGCTCACTTCTCTGTCCATGCTCATTCTCGATGGCTACTATCGAACAATAAGGGGGTTCGAGGTGCTTGTGGAGAAGGAATGGCTGAGCTTTGGGCACAGATTTCAGCTGGTGAGTCAATAGTCTTTTGAGCAGATTCAATTGCTGGGTGTTGAACAAAGAGTATCTCACTGGATTAGTTACATAGTTCTATATGTTCCTTTAATCAACATTACTTGATCACAGCTGAGCTCACAGAGTAAAGGTGAATGCCACTGATACGCATTCTGGCACATTATATTATTTGTTGATTTTTGCTCATTGTCCTTAGACTGCAGTCAGTTGATGTTGGTTAAGGTTATCTGATCTAATACTGTATCTAATACTTACTAAGGCACTGATTTCATTATGTGATTTTGGGTGGTCACTTAACAGTTTTTCCATCTGCATACTTGTGATATTATCCCCCATTTTACATGTGGGGAAACTGAGGTAGTTGAGTGATTGAGAGCCCAATCCAGCAAAACAGTAAACCAGGTGCTTAAACTGTAAGGAGATGATTAGTCCCATCTATAAAATGGAGATAATGATGCTGATCTTCTTTGTAAAGCACTTTGAGATCTACATATGAAAAGTATTCTATAACAGAGAGGTATTATTATTACTTACATGCTTAAGCCCAGAAGAGTGGCTATACTGGGTCAGACCAATGGTCCATCTGGCCCACTATCCAGTGGCCAATGTCAGGTGCTTCAGGGGGAATGAACAAAACAGGGCAGTTATTGAGTGGTCCATCCCCTGTCGTCCAGTCCCAGCTTCTGGCAAACAGAGGTTTAGGGACAACCGGAGGATGGGATTGTGTCCCTGACCATCTTGGCTAATAGCCATTGAACTTATCTAATTCTTTTTTTTGAACCCAGCTACACTTTTGGCTTTCACAATATCTCCTGGCAATGAGTTCCATAGGTTTGCTGTGCACTGTATGAAGAAGTACTTCCTTTTGTTTGTTTTAAACCTGCTGCCTGTTAATTTCATGGGGTGACCCCTGGTTCTTGTGTTATATGAAGGGGTAACTAACACTTCTCTGTTCACTCTCACCACACCTTTCATAGACCTATTCTGTCATTCCTATATATTTTGTACCCTGGTATTACTGTGTCCCATTGATTATCATTCCACCAAGTTTCTGTGAGGGCTATTATATCACTATACTCATTTAATACCAGGCAGTCAAGTTCACCCATTTTAGGATTTAGACTTCAGCATTTGTATCCAAGCACTTATAAAATTTGTCAATATTAAGTTGGCTGCCTTCATGTGATGTAACTGAATGGGACTCTTTTTCATCTAAATTTTTCTTGAGTTCCTACCTGTACTTTGTCAATTTTCTATCCTCTCCTCTTTAGTAGGATAGAGATTATCCCCTTTAATAAATCCTCCCCAATGGATATCTCGGTCCAAACCGTGTGGTCCTCCATACCTCTTAGCCTTCCCACAGCCTTTAGTTTAAAAACTCTTCTATGACCTCTACGGCTTCAGTGCTTTGCTGAATTGGGACCTTAAGTGATTTGCCCAAGGCCACACAGCCAGGTCAGTGTCAGAGGCCTACTTCTTAGGGACACTTTCGTAACTACCTCTCATGGGATGGTGAGGATGAGCTAGTGTTTGTACAGGGCTTGGCAGCTAGGAAGTGCCATGTTATAATTATCATTAGGTGCTGTGTTTCTGTGCAACTCTTGGATCCATTATACTGTACTACTGAATGAAGATGATGATGATGATATATATAATTTAAAGGAACAAAAGTTTAAACTTTTTCTAGTCTTTTGAACTCTAGCTGTTAAATGAAGTCAGTGCCAGAATAACATCTGGAGCTTCTATTTAGATCACTTTTGGTTTTAGTTCTTTCTTAAGTGCACTTAACAAGTCCCTGAGAAAGGAACTCACTTCAAAGACTAGAGGAGTAGCTGTCCAGAACTTCTGCACTTACTAATATAAACACAGCAAAATCAGGACACTTTTAGACCATCTTACAGCTATTGCGGGCTGCTGCATTGGTAACCCAGGTACACAGAATCCAAGCTATTTCTTTGTGAAGCACTGTACTAGTTCATGTTCTTTGTTTGTTTTGTATCAGAGAGTTGGCCATGGAGATAAAAATCATGCAGATGCAGACAGATCTCCTGTTTTTCTCCAGTTCATTGATTGTGTCTGGCAAATGACAAGACAGGTAAATTTCTAAGCTGCAAACTTGCTTTATGCAGGACTTAGATGGGTGCGTCTGGCTAGTGATCTTGCTGCTCAACTTTGAAATGAAAATACAGCCTCTTCTGTGTGGCTTTTTTGTTCTTTTCTGTTTTCGTTTGGGTACAATTGTCAAAAGTAACTGAGTGAGTTAGGAGCCTGTCATTGAATGCCTATGGGATTTAGGAGCCTAAGGGCCTAAGACACTTTTGAAAATAGGACTTAGGCTCCTTAGTCATTTAGTGGCTTTTGAAAATTTTATTTTCCCCGAGTGGCATTAATTGTGTGAGGGGAGAAGGGATTGAAGACAGCTGGGTTTTGTTTCACTTTAACCTCTTCTAAAAGTGAATGCATTGCTCCTAAATTGTGCATGATTATCAACATTGGAGTGTCTTCTTTACCCACAGACCAGGTACTGTATGAGCAGGGCCACTTAAATTCCTCTGCTCTGGAGGGGACATCTCTAGCGGCTTAGAGTGAGAGCCATGCCGCTGTGTCCACTCTGCATTTGGCCTCTGTGCCAGGGCCTGTAGGTTGTATTTTTATCCTTTTGACAAAGGTGCCTAGCCACCATTGAAAAAACCAACCTATGATAAAAATGCTGAAGAGGGATGCCATTTTAGATGGTACTTTTCAGTCGCCAAACAGGAGAGGTGGCAGCAGGTCCCTTTCTTGGATGTTGCTAAAGCATCCTTTACAGTGGTGGTCTTAATCCTTCTCCCATCAAGTTCCTAACCCTAACCCTAACCCTAATCCTCCCCCCAATCTCCCCTTCCACCCACCCACACCATAACTCCAGATCTGGCCACGTTCCTTACTGCATAGCTCTGCCCCAACTCGAAAAAAATGGGGACACAGTTTTCACAACTCCCCCCCCCCAGGTTTTCCACTCTATATAGAGGGAGTCAGAATTATTCAATATTCAGAAAAGGTCTGATGAAATTTTGAAAAACTATTTTTAAAACAAAAGGGGAAAAAATGTTGTGAAGTTTTGTAACTGTTTTCCAAGCAGCTCAGATTGTTGTTATACATTTGTATTACAGAACACCTAGAGGCTTCAGCCAGTGTTAAGGCCTTGCATGTGATGGCAATTCCTAGGTTCCCACGACCTATTCCCAACATGTGAACTAGTTTCATGGCCTTCTGCTGCTGCCTCATGGAAAACTCTCAATTGGATGCGTGAATTGTTTCCATTTAACTAGATGGAGCTTTCATTCCTACTTAGAGTTTGTTTATTTTATATCTGCTGCACCCTTTTGTTCATAACCTCATTACAGTTCTGGCATTAGAGACCTGTGCAAGCTCCAGTTTAAGCAGTTCTGAGTGTATATAAATACAGTGATCAGACCCTTCGGGCCTCTGGCTTTTGCTCAGAATTCCTTACTGCACATGTAAAGCAGATTTTTGAGTGAAGCGTTTGCTCGGAGAAAGTAGTAGTATGATTTTGGAGACAGAGGCAGCCAAATAACACAAACGAATCCTGCATTAGAAGTGCATAGGGGACATATTCAGCTCATTAACTAACACGATTGGCTGTTACAGTGGTATGTGTGTTCATTAGCAACAAGCAATGTACTAAGAAAAATAAACACGCAATATTCCTGGTTGTGTTTGAAGTTTCCTACAGCATTTGAATTCAATGACTGTTTCCTGATGATCATTCTGGACCACCTGTACAGCTGTTTGTTTGGGACGTTCCTGTGTAGCAGTGAGCAGCAGAGGGTGAAGGAGGTAAGGCCTCACCTCTTTCCAAGATGAATGCAATTCTCAGTGTTCCTAAAATGGGCGAATGATGCTGATGGAATTGTTCCCATTCCCAGTGACTCCCGTGGGAGCAAGTTTTGGCCCTAACAGATCTTCCAGCTGAACAGCTGGCATTCAGAATTCTTCCCTCCTGTAAACTGGTGTAAACTACTCATAGCTTAATTGCTATACTTCAGACTTGTGTACATTTCAGTGTAATCAGAATCTCTAAAGGCACCTTCAACCATTAGCCTCTGTCTTAACAGCTATCAGTTGCCTAGGAGATGTTTATCTAAAGTTCAAACAAAATCATTTCAACTACCTGCCCAGTAATACTAGAAAGTGAGCTGATTGTATAAACTAAAATGTGTGCACAGTCATACCGTACATCCAGCTGACAACATGGAAGTAACAGGATGCCAGATGCGCCCTTTTCCCTGGAGAGAATGGAACTGCTAGCTATTAGGAGGAATGTGGCTGTAGTTCGTTACATTGGATAGTTCTGTACTCTAGCCTGGCCTACCTTGGCAGAGCTTAAAGCAGTTACAAGACCCAAAGTGCAAGTGGAGGAATGTTGTGTACATTTGCATGACTTAAAACACTAATCCAATGTTACATGTACAACCCCAACCTGAAATCAAAAGGAAAATGAATGGCGCTCGCTCAGTCTCTGCTTGCTAAAGCTGGAAGCACCATTTAGTTACACAAAGGTTGCATCTACACTAGGAAAAATGGCATCTGTAATTCTCCACTGGCGATGGCAACAGTGGAGGCTGTAGTCTAGTCAGGGCTATGGTTTTTTATCACTGTGTTGCATAGACGTGCACTGAGCTGAATTTAACAGCACAGTGGTCAAAATCACTATTAAAACCACATTGCTGGTGAATTGTGTGTCCCAGTTTTCCCAGTGTGTACGAGGCTTGAATATTTGTCATTCCGAAGAAGCAAACACATGCTCTGTTCGCTGTCTCTTTAAGGCCCATCAGTCTAGCAAAGCACTTAAGCACATATGTAGTCCCAGTGATTTCACTAGGACTACTCACATACTTAAGCTATTTTGCTAGATTGAGGCCTAGAACACATGCTTTTTCCTTGCAATTAAATACACTGGGCCCTCTTTTGGGAGCATTTGAAAGATGGGAAGCGTAACAAAAATAATGGTCATGTACATGGCCAGCCCTTCCTCCTGTCCTTTAAAGCTTCAGAAAACCCCATCTCCTCTCCGGGCAGCCTTCCCCTTTTTGTGCCAATGGTGATTCCCTTGATTGTGCTGCAGGTTGAGTTGGGAATAAGGGATGTTTGCATGCCACTGTGTATACGTAGATGCCTGCCTGCATGTGTTTATATTATAGAAAAAAAGCATAAAATGTATTTTTTAGTTATGAAAACGCAGCCAGATTTTTATTAATATGTATATGCAGATGCATGTATTTTAAACATATGTATATGCTGGTATAAATACTCATAAAGCTGTGTAGATAAATACTAGTGTTCATATGGTTGGGTATGTGAAACAGCTTTTATTTTTTCCTTAAAGGGCCTTCCAAAAAAGACTCTGTCACTGTGGTCTTACATCAATAGCCAACTTGAAGACTTCACTAATCCCTTGTATGTGTGTTACGCCAACCATGTCTTGTATCCTGTGGCCAGCATGCGCCACCTAGAGCTTTGGGTGGGATATTACATCAGATGGAATCCAAGGATGAAACCACAGGTGACCATTTTGTTTCTAAAATACTGTGTTTGTCAAAAGTCTTGTCTCTGATGTTCCTAAGGAACCAGTCACCTTGGCCTCTGGGAGCTGCACAACAGTAAGCAGTACTTTCCAAGCCCAAACTGCCACAGCTTAAGTTTAAAAACAAAACTTAATTGCAAGTACCGTACCTGCGACATGTGTAATTGAACTGGGCGCCTAACTTTAGTTTTAAAAATATCAGCCATGATTCTAAAAACTGGGTGTCTGACTTTAGACTCCCAAGTAAGTGGATTGGAAATCCCTGGGGGCTGTAGGTGCTCAGCACTTTGAGAAATCAAATCACTTGAGCAGGCGTCAAAAGCACCAGGTCCCACTTGCAGGAGGGACTCAGGCGCCCGAGCCTCATTGAACGTCAGTGGGACTTAGTCTTGCAAATCACTTAGGCACTTTTGAAATGTTTACCCTAGATGCCTAGAGACTTTGGGGCCTACCTTTAGTCATTCACTTCTGAAACTCTTGGTCACTAGAAATAAGAAGAGTTTTTAAACACTAGACCATTGAACATTTAAGACAAGTTAGAGATACTTAGAAGAATCTCCAAAGTGCCCTTATTCTATATCTACTTAATTATCAACAGTATTGAGATGCCATGGGGATAGGTGACCGAGAGATCTGCAGGTTTCAGCTTTTACAATTCACAGTGCTTATGTTATTAACCTGTTAGTTTGTCTCATTCCCAAATCAGCTTTGTAAATAAAATATAGTAGACAATAAGCATCAGGGCCCTGGAACTAGCAGGCTGCAAGAGTGCAGGTGACAGATAAGTGGCAAGGTATGTGGAAGTCAGAACAGCTAATTCATTTGCTTCATTCACTCAGCTGCACGTTCTTTTGCGTTGCAGGAACCTGTCCACAGTCGATACAAGGAACTTCTTGCCAAACGGGCTGAGTTGCAGAAGAAAGTGGAGGAGCTCCAGAGAGAGATTACCAACCGATCGACCTCATCCTCGGAGAGAGCTGGCTCTCCTGCACAGTGTGTCACTCCTGTACAGACAGTTGTATAATATGGACTTCTATTAAGTATTTCCCAGGACCACCTTAAAAGGGCAGCTCTAATAGGAAACCCTTTGAATTTAGATCTTGGTGTCTTGGAGGCACCAACTACCTTATTTATTACATTTCTCTCCAGGGTAATTTATTAGTACTGTAGCACTAGAGGAAGCTTAAGCTAAAAAAAGGGCAGACCCCTATGCAATCTTTTTGGTAGCTAGATGATGCTAAAACTAATTGCACTTGCCATCTAAAAACAAAACCTAGCGCTCTCACTGGCTTAGCTGTTAGAAATCATTTTGCTTTGAATGAGCGACTACTGCTTGGCAGGAAGTATTCTGTAAGGAAAGTATCTACAGAGGAGGAGGAGAACTCTGAAAATTCTCCACTTTGCTGAAAGGAAACAAAAAGAGACTGAAGTAAGAAATCAGGCTGCAGTATTCATATCTGATTCAAATGTTTAGAATATAGCCATTGAATAGTTTGACTTATCAATGTCAATATAGATATAACTGTCAGTTGAATTGTTTTGCCAACGTCTCACTGAAAGACAGAAGCTGATAGGACCCGAGTAATAGAATGCTTTTTACTATTTAGTTAGATTGGCTCTTTCCTATCACTTTGATATACATCGGAGGAAGCTAGGCCAAGTCTGTTTCTTTTAGGTATATAGCCAATACTGCAAAGTGATGCCTTATTTACAGGAAGGGCAGCTTCTAGCTGTAGGACATGGTAATGGATGAGCCCCTCGTATCCCTCAGCTTGTCCTTTTTGGGACCAAGTTTACCTCCATCCCCCTCACCTGGAATCATCATTTATTTTCATCCAATTCAGTACTATGAAGCAAATGTTAATTACTGAGGGGGTGGGAAACAGATCCCCCAGTAGTTTCTGCAGCTTTTTGGGGGGGGGCGCCTTATATGCAAGAGCTGGCAAAGTAAATTATATAAAACATGGCAAGTGCAACACTTGCTGGGATCAACTCAATTTAATTTTGCTTAGGTAAGTGTCAACTGTTATTTCCATATTTCAGTGTGGGATCGTGATGATGTACTTAAAATTCAAATATTTTACTTCTCTTCTGTTGACAGTAAGTGTATCGACCAAAGAAAGCTTTCTGCATGTATTACAATCGCAATGTAAAAGTAGTGGTCAGTTGATGGAGTTGTGTAGTCTGCTAGCATAATATTTCAGCACTAGCTTAATACTTGTTACTCTGTCAGAGAAGAGAATACAGTGTACTTGGAGCAAAGAATCATTGTCATTGGCACAATGATCAATTAAACTTTGTCCAAAATCAATTTTAATAACTTTATTGTAGAAATCAGGGTGAAAACAGGCAATTTTCTGGCAATTACTTTTGTTGAACTGATTTTTTCATGTCTTTCCAACTACATGCATATGCACTTGAATGAGAAGGTTGGGGGTGTAGCAAAAGTCAAAATATTTATAAGGGCTTTTTAGCTTTGCCTCTGGATTTCATTTCTATATGCAGATGTATGTTTTGATCAGAGTAGTTTGGCTGATTTTTGTGCAGTCAGCATATGTATATTGCCTTTGAGGGGCTGCATTCCCTCTAAGGTAGTGGAATTTCCTTTGGAAAGCTACTTGTGGTTTACTGTGTGCCTCCCTCTTTCTCCTGCAGCTATGTCAATCCATTAGGGTGAAGTCTTCTCTCTTATGGATGGCCTAGCATTAAGATGAAGTGTAAACATCACTGCATTTGTTAGGGTAACATGATCCCTAATGAGATTTTTTTTTTTTTTTTTTTAAATCAGGTTGTGCTGATTCTTTGCACCATATGATGTATGGGGTGTATAACTTGCTGAGAGAGAGAGAGACAGACACTCCGTTGGCCTGTCCTCCTTAGATTCCGTCACTATATAAAATATGTAAGTCTTAAGTTCTCAGATACTACAGTGTAGTATAAGAACCTGTATGGAATAGTCATTTACCTTTTTACCCTCACTTTGGCCGTTTCACTAGGTATGGATTATTGTCTCTTTAATATTTTGTTTCCTTATGGTTAATACTGAGTGGTGAGTGGCTGTGGTTTTCTCTCCTTGGGCCCTGCTCTCACTCCCAACAGTATTTATTTGTTCTTTATATAAAAACAAACAAACAAAATCTGAATGGTGACGAGTCAGTCGTATCACTGAAAAGTAACCATTTCAGAAGACAAAGTAAAGTGGAGGAAGGATGAGATGTCTGTATGGCATTCTCAGTAAGCAACGTGGTTTTGCTGATATTCTAGCTTTGTAGTTGTAGAATTACTGTAACATAATTGCTTTGTATACGACCAGAGCGACTTCCTGCTCAAAGGGAGTGTTTTCCTTTGGCTACTGTCCCAGTAACAATTCCTGGGCAGTTTATGAATTTCCCCATTATCTCAAATAATTTTGAGCTGGCAAATATTTAACATGAGCACCTCATATTTAATATCTAGCCTCACAGTACGCCTTGGAGGTAGGGAAACAAACACTGAGAGTGAAGGAGTTACCTGAGGCTACAAAGGATACCTGTGGCAGAGCAGGAAATTTAACCCAGGTCTTCCAAGTGCCAGGCTCCCATCTTCACTACTTACCTATCCTTCCTCTCTACTCGTGCCACCTAACACCTTTGCTCAGGCAATGCTTGAGGTGAGTTTTAGTGCGGCAGGATTTTTTAAATAACAGTCTGATACAGGTCTGTCGCATCTTACGCGCATTTAACATGCGTGATTTCAACTTTACGCGGTCGGCAAAAACAAAACAAAAAAAGAGAAAAACAACAATTTTAATACTATACCTGTAGTGCGGGCGATTTTGCCCACCATTGAACTCAATGGGGATTTGACTATACGCGGTTTTCGCTTTACGTGCTAACCGTGGAACGGAAACCCCGTGTAAGATGAGACAGACCTGTATTCAATTCAAAGAGTAAATTGTATCAGTGTCTTATGAGGAGTAACAAGTCACAGCAAGATAGTTAGAAAGTTAGTAAAGAGAAATTTCAACTTACCTTACTCAGATTTGCAAGTTAATTTTATTGGTTTCCAAATATAAAACTTTATAGACACAGGTAATTTGAATCTGTCTTCTGTACACGCCATTACTATGAAATTCTTTACATTATTAATATAATAAATAACATTCACTTAGGTGTGCGAGTCATTTAGCACTCATACCTGCACCACTAAAAAAGCAGATATCCAAGTCAAAATGAATAATAATTCAAGTTAAAATTAAGCAAGCTGCCAGCACTGAATGGCATGATTGAGGCACTTGCAAATTAAAAATGTCTGCGCTTTACCGCTCCAGCCAAAGTGCACTAGTAAATGATAGATTTTATCCCAATGTTCCACATCAGAAGACTTTTCACTTAAGTGTGAAGGCACATGTCTCTCTCCAGCTTTAAGACATCATTACTATTAAATGAGTCAATTGGTAAGAAAAACTAGTCCAAAAGATAATTACTTTGTTCTTTCTTTGTGAGTGAGTTGAAGTGTCCACTACAATTAATATTGGCTAATGGAAGGTAGCAGACCTGGAACTGGATAGTTAAACAAAACACTTATGAGGTTCGCCTCTTTTTCTTATGTTCTCAAAGGCTGTGCTGACAGCAACTGTGTATAAATCCAGCAACTGATAACACCTTGTAGACTCGTGGCTAAAGCTTCATTTTCTAATGGTGATATCCCTTTAAGCAGCCCCATGCAGAAGAGTTCAACAGCAAGAGTTGTGAAACCACACATACCTTTTAGACAAGCCACCCATGTGAACAATGAAATAAAACATCCTGCGGCAGGCGTGGAGGAAGGAGGCTAGAAGGTAAGACTTAGAGGAAGGATACAGCTGCAAAGGGGTAGATAATGGAGGGTTGCATATAGACTCAGTAGTTAGATACATTACAAATGAGGCTTGCTTTCTCCAATCTGTGTTGTGCATGGATTAGAACCATAATAAATCAGACCTACAGATGCAAAATCGGGGGGTTACATTTAAAAAGTGCACTTCGTATACAGTAGTCTCTTTCACACAGTAGGAAAGGCATCTCTTTTAGACCTGGAATGTGAGAAGGAAAGTTCAGACTGGTGGAGTTTAAGGAAAATGTCGACCAGTACAGAAATCAGTAGTCCCAGCTGACGTCATCTTTCTGAAGGGAAGTCTGTATACTCTGCATGTCCCGCAACAATTGAAGGTTTTTCCGGCTTTTCTCTCCAGGTTTCACTTTGATGGGGCCAGCATCCTTTCCCCTGGTTGTCACGGTGGTTGTTACTTTCACTTCACTAACTCCACTCCGGCAGTCTCGTGTTTCTTCAGCACGAGACTTTTTGGACTTACATTCTTTCTTGAGTTTCTCTAGCTGAAAGGAAAGCCCAAAGAGAAACATTAAGAGCAGCTCGGCTTCAGTTTACTTATTTCTCCCAATGGAATTAAAATCTCCCCTTTCACTCATGCCTGCGACTCAAATAGAAAGCTGAGAATCTATTACCAAGACAGCCAATCTCCTGGAATACTTAAGAAAACTTCTCCTATACAGCATATATATTTACTACTATAGCCAAGTGAATAATGTCATAAATCTTTAAGAACATGGAGATAAAATCTCTGATTCCAGTGCAGTGTGTGTTCTGAATTAGTTAGCTATTTTAGAAATCACACATCTAACAGATTCTAGGGGAGTTTCCCCAATCGTGAGGACATGTGGATAAGAACTGACTTAAGTCTCCAATCCACACAGCCACTGCCCAACTTTTCCCAGAGATTACTGAAAAATTAAGTTTTCCATTTACCTACGGCAGATTGTATAGGCCATTCACTGTCCTTAGAAAGCAGCTACCTGAGGTGGTATGGAGAACTGGCATCAGCTGTAAAGATGTGTAAATAGGACAATATGCGACTCAATACTACAGTGGTGCAGGAAAATTTTTACTAGTCGGGGCATACAGTATTCATGCAGAACCATGCATATTGCCATATAATGTCAGCAATGCTACACCTGCCAGTCTGCAACAACTGTTTCAGTTTCTTGACAGGAGTAACTAATAAATTGTCTTCTTCCACTGGCCCAGACATTCCTCTGCAGAATAGGTTAATGGCTATGAATTCTTCAGTCATCTGATTGGAAATCTAGTGCAGTGGTTCTCAACCAGGGGCCTGGGGCCTCCTAGGGGTCCTCAAACAGTTTTCAGGGAGGCCTCCAAGCAGGGCCAGCCTTAGACTCACTAGGGCCCTGGGCAGAAGGGGGCTGAAGCCCAGGTCCCTGAGCCTCACCTGGGGCTAAAGCCTGAGCAATGTAGCTTCATGGAGGCCCCAGGCAATGCCCTGCTTGCTGCCCCTTTAACGCTGGCCCTGGCTTTTATATGCAGGAGTTTTTAGATCATGTTGGGGGGGGTCAGAAAGAAAAAGGTCGAGAGCCTCTGATCTAGTGAATGTGTGGGAAACATGCTCAACTGCCTTTGATTTCAGATGACATCTGCAGTTTAAGTCTTCCACACTTTGACTTTAGGCAGATGAAGTTTCTGACTCTAGAGCACACACAGTGTCAAAGCTGGAGATGAGGGGGTTGAAAACTGCACAAAGATATGCTTCACAGCAATGTAAACTGAACAGGCTTGCCACACTGTATTCGATCTTTGGGGCAAAACCAACTTCAGTAAGATGAAGGCAGACTG